CAATAAAATTTCTGTGATTTTTAGCGGCTCTTCGGTAGGCCAGTTTTTAACCATTAAGAGAGGTTTGCATAGACCAACACATACTATGCTGAAAATATATAAAAGCTTTCTAATCAAGTTCCGTCAATTTGTTTTAAGTCATCAAAGATATGTATAGCTTGATATTGTCATGATGGAACACAATTTAATTTTTTAGTTAATTCTGGTTCATTTTTCTTAATTATTTCTTAATTATACGTTCAAGTTTGGAGCAGTAGATGGTTGAAAATATATAGCAGATACATAAATTATACCAATTATATCCGAGAAGTAATGTTTAAAAAAATAGAGAGACATATATTATAATCATTATAAAAAGATGTTATTACACAACCTTCCACAATAAATCAGTTTCTCTGAACAAAACAAAAATCTCGAAACAAATCCTAAAATAAAGGCTTAATTCATAGCCGACAAGGTAACGCATATGTCCATGAGCTCAGATTCTCTCTAGCTGTACAAATGTGAAATGTTCCATATTTTTCCATATTTAAATAGCAAAACAGTTATGAAACCATTCAATACATAGGCCATTAAACACAACATGGCACAAAAATCTTGTACCTGAGTTGACTAATGTGAAAAAGTAACACACCTCTAAATATTAAAACAAAAAAAATGTGGTAGTAATGAATAAAAACCCTGACAAGCATGCTAACGAGAGTGTCTTAACTCTCTTTTGAGGATCCAAGCCTTTTTACAGACTATTCACCTATTAGATCACATTAATATTTATATAGCAACAATGAACTATGAGTGATATTGACTAAGTTATGAGTCAATATCACAGATTTGAAGCTACTAAAACAGATTTTAAAGCCAGCAATAAATGGACAAACAGGTTTTTTAGTCAAAATATATCCGTACTTAAGTTAGTCACTACGTCTACGTTTCCTACATCTATTTGATTTTCATTAAATCAAGTCTGGATTGAACTTCTAACCCAAAGGTTGTTGTTATATATATTAACAATCTTGGTTTTTTCGTGTGAACTTACACAACTTTTAGCAGTGATAATTACTTTTTTATAATATATATTTTACTTTGTTATTATGCAATACATTGAGTTTGAATTTAACAAAGTATTAATGTATATAATTGCTATTGTCTACTAATTACAATCTGGAAATAAAACTATAAACTAAAGTTAATAACTATAAACTCTAAATTATTAGAAAGTTTTGACTGCTGCTTATGCGATTCGTCACAGACTTTAAACCGGCTGCATGGCTCATCACAAATGGATTCGAAATCAGAAGAAAAATAACATTAAAGGATCAGGAAATTAGTAACAAATTCAAGCAATGGATATAAATGAAATTTCGTTAATATGAGCTTTCTTAACAATATTATTATGAAATATATATTTTCCATAACTGAAAATACAAATATTTATAAAATATTCAAAATATTGAATATTCATATATAAATATATATTCATATATAAATATTGCATTTTCAAATCTTTTTATAATTATTTTAAGTAACCAAAACACTCCATAACATCATGTATTAGATTTGTATTCGTCCAGTGATTGAAATTTAATCTTTGTTGTTTTTCAATTCTTCCCGTCAATTAGCGATAGTGAAGATTTTTGAATCATATCTTTAATTTTTTTAATGATTTATTTTTTTGATACTCTACAAACGTCACCAAAAAAAAATGTTATTATACTCCATCCGAAATCGGCAAGAAAAAGATAAACACTTTCTCTGTGATTATCCGGCTTTGGCGTCCAAAAGAATTAGGGAAGATACTTCTTTGACATTTTATCAGACTGTTCCTCAATAAAGACGAAATATATATAAAATTATCTAAATTCAAGGGGTTGGATTTAGTCTATACTCTTCTATCTTAGGGGCTCTAGCAAGAAATGTGGTAGCAAAACTGCGAAAAATTGTCTTGACCTTTTTAAAGTCACTACATTTCTCCACTGCCTTGGCTTTAGTTGGAAATCCATTTGGCATAAAATAGTGAACCGAACATGAATTTCTTTTTTTTTACATGGAAATTATCTGATGACCTGCCACTGCCTTGACTTTAATTGAAAAGCCATTCGGTATAAAATAATGAACCAAATATGGGTTTCTTTAACTCTAACGGTCTTGAGAAGTTTTACAACTTCAGTTTTGCCAATTAATTTGGTAGAATAAATCTGATTATAAATATCTCTTTTTACTTTAGATATGAATATAAAACTCTATATAAAAAATATTCTAATTGATTTTAGAATCAAAAGATATGGTGTTTATTTTGATTAATAAATACAGAACATTTTTTACTCAACTAATATTTATAAAAATCAAAAAAAAAAAACTTACCCCAACTGTAAGAAGGTGGATTCAAAGGCTTCATATCTAATTTGTCTCTGTCGTGCGAGGGGCTTCTTCTTAGGGGATCATAGACAACTACAGTAACTGTATTTAAATACCAACTTACATTGAGCGGATGTTTTTAAGCCCGTCAAGTTTCCTTTTTTTATTCTTTTTTATTTAATATACATATTCTGTTTGTTCTACTTATAAAAATATTGGTTTTGTGGTCAATTTTGAGTAAAATTTATGTTATTTAAACATATGTAAAACGAGAGTAAAAACATATATTCAGTAACATCAATAACTCTACCATTAGAAATTAACTTAACCTAATCCTAATCAATCCTTGGTATCTACAATCTCAAAAAATTATTTACGAATAATTTAATAGAAGAAATAATTGCAATACCACTGGTGATGGGTATTTGGCAATACTCAAAACAGCTGTATGGTGAGCCAAAAATTCCATTAATTAAAATAATATACAAAGAATATTTGTTGTTATAGTTCACTACTTTTCGAAACCTCTTAACCTTATATACAATGTTAAAATTTAAAAACATATTTTTAGTTAATATATTATTATTGATACCGTACAATATGGAGCGATGCAGTAACTTTAAAAAAATTATTGAAATCCATCTTCAAAACACTTTTTTTTTCAATCTCAATTTAATTTTTAAATTAAGTTTTCTAAAAATGAATTTTAAAATCCTACGTAAATAAATTATATCAAGTTTATTTGCCATTCATTAAGTTTTAAGACAACGGCCTATAAAACGAGCTACTGAATAGAGTATTTAATCAATTCCGATTTAGTTAATCATCTGTTATTTAAAATTTGTTGATATAAAATCATAGCTTTAATTACACTATATAAAAACACACCTTTAAATACCAAAACTGAAATTCGATTTGTTTTATGTATTTACTTATCACTCAATCTAATCCGAACTTGAACTTTATATTAGTTACACTTTGAATCGTATAATTAATCGTCTACGTTTGCATGCATCATTAGCTTAAATATTGTTATGGAGATTATTTTCTTTTTTCACAAAAACTGTATCTATGAGATACGGCTAAAAGATACGCACACACACATACGTTTTTTCCGACCTATTAACATATGTATGTATATATGTGAATAATAAAAGTTCTCACCGGTGTTGACCTTATGTAATGTTACACTGAAAACACCTTGCCTTACAATGTAATTATGTAAGACTTAGATAATTAAACAAAACGCCTTAGAAAACATATTCAATAGTTGAGTTTTAAGCGCTGATAAAATTAACTAAAACAGTAAATGCCTAAATTTTGTGGGTAAGTACCACAAAAACGAGAAACAAAGAAATTTTGTAAAATTTAATTAAATTTATCATTAAAATTTTTAACTCATTGACCTTTCCCACCGCAAAACATATACACCATAATGGTACGAAAGCCCAAGAAAAAACACAAAAACAAAAATAATGTTTAATAAAATTATTTCAATAAATCATTGAAGCCCTTTTCATGACTTCGAATTACTTAACTAATAAATTTAAATGCTTGTGCCAGAAATTAAAATATCATCCCAACAGTTTTCTGAAATTATAATATAATTTCACTGCATAACGCTGCGATAACCCGAAATTTCGTTATTTCCTACAATTTTCACGCGATTATATTCCATTTTAATTATATTTTAAGTATGTGCGCCCGAAACGATCAGACTACACGGTGGGTCCATGAGTCCATTGTCTTTCCTCTGACCTTTCTTTGAAAGCAACTGTAAAATGATCATTCAGCGTGTTGTGGATTTTCTTACCATATTATTGTATTATGTGTTTTGTGTTTTTTTTTTTTGTGGGGTTTTTGGAACTTATTATGAATAAATTTAAATTACGATGTATCTATCAAATGCTGCTGCATCAGTCTACTATAATTACTTTTAACCTAAATGTAGCAAAACAGAAAAAAAGAAAATAAAAACAAACCATTATGTAATTTAACCAATGCAAGATTAAAGTAGTCCAGTTGGCCAGCCAGTAGCATGTGTGATCTTTCTGGGTTGCATAGTTCGTGTTAACTTGTTGATAACTCTGTTGATTTTACGGATTATTATTATTATTTTTGTTTTTTTTTTTTTTGGTAACAAAAATTTTTCTCTAGGCAAAACTAACTTCCGGCGTAATATGCCGCTTCATAGATACAAAAATTCGCAGATCAATCTTTTGCTTTGCTTGTAATTAAATTCATTAAAACTTCAACTGCAATGGGAGCAAACTACAGCTTTAAAGATGCTGTACTGCGCTCTTTTCACCTCTCTAGCTCTTTATCGTTTTGCTAGCCAAGGTTACTTTTCTGACCACAAGCTAAGGCGTAGCGCATCTCTTCAGCGATAGAGGCGAGCAGATGCGGTTTTAGTTTTCGGTGGTACTTTTCAGTGCCAGTTGTAAATTTTTTCTTTAGTGCGATCTTCTCCACTCTTGGATTTCTTTAATCAATTTACCACGATTTCTGCAGGTTGACTTATAAAAGTTTGGTCTTTTACTGATTAACATTTAGTTGATTTGTGGTTGTCATTTGGACCAGACGTTGACACTTGTCGCGTTGATTTATTCTTTAATTTTCAAGACGTTTTCAAAGTTTCTAAGAAAATGCGCGCTTTTATTGTAAGTGAAAAATATGATTAAATAAAATTCATACTAAATACTAAAGTTGTGCTAAAATTTGATTTAAGATATTTTTTATATCTAAAAAATGACAAAAAAAAAGTATTCAAAACAAAGTTTCGAAAAATTTAAAAAAAATCTTGTAAATACTGGACTCGACACGCAATTTTATATAGGTGGTCCTAATAAGTACTCAGTAGTTATAACTCATCCTAAATAAGTACTAAAACAATTGGAAAATATATTATTTTTTAAAGTGAATATAATTTTAATAATACAATTATTTTAAAATTTTAATCTAATTGCTTAAATATTACTGATATTTTCAAGTTATTGTCCATATTTATTTTCGGTTTGTTTGTGATTAAAGTACAAATTAAAAGTGATAAAAATATGTGATTTATGTGATTTTTTATTAATTAAAATAATTAGAGATAATTTATTTTCTAAAACTGTATATATCACAAATAATGGGAATTCAAAAGTTACATAAAAAAAACCACTATTTATATTAATGCTTTTATCGTGCTAAAGATGTACATAAATGTATAATATAGTATATGTATAATGTATATAATATAATATATAATATATATATATATATAATATATATATAACATATAATGTATATGTATATAAATGTATAATATATAATATATGTATAATATATAATGTAAAATATATAATATAGTGTTATCAAAAATTCACGAGCATTTTTAATTCTTCGAAAAGTATTTATTAAAATTTCAATGTTTTTTTAGTACTCTTTCTTTCAAAGTTGACGCCCTTAAATAGCTTCCAGTTTGATCGATTTTATTGAAGCGTGTTTTTATGTATAGTCTTGAGCTTGCTCTGTGATCTTATCCTTAGATCATTTACTATTAAAAATACATTATCCTATAAGAAACTTATATAAATTTGGAAAATAGTAAAAAATTAAGGAGTACATAAGCCTTCTTAGGTATTCCATACAAAATATTACCGAATATAAGTCTTCTCGGCTTACATATTCTATAAGAAATATTACCTAACACAATATATGAATGTTACAGGCAGTACAACCAATACACAAAAAACTGTCGACTTTAATATTTACAAATAAATAACACATGCACGTATAATATCAATATTTACGAAAATAGTAGAACTAAACTTTCAGCTGTGACCACCAAACAAGAGATCTAGTGAATAAAGAAACTTTTCAATTAAGTCGAAGACCATTTTAAAAATTTTATCCATGTCCATTTACGAAGTATAAGCCAAAGCATTGTTTTAATGAAACCAAACTTTTTGCATTTACAAAAGGTGAACATTTCTCTGTAGATATGATTTTCAATTTATCTAATTAATGTTGCATACTATATGTATTATGCGCTACTACTGAGGTAATAGCTATACTATATGACCGACAGTTCCGATATAGATGGACTACACAGTCGTCATAGTATCGAAAGAGCTTTTTCTTAAGGTTCACAGGTTTCTTTATATTATTAAATTTGTGTTGGCTTAAGTAAAGAAAATATATAAGATATTAACCTATAAGCTATCATTTCTAACATTTTTAATAGCATGTCTTCGATGTTTCGGAGTGTACGTACTAATATGACTTTGTTCTCAGGCAGGTTCTTGCACCATATACATAAGTCAATATTTAACTTTTTATTCGAGTTATTCAAACAATTATCTTCGAGAAAAATTGAAAACAACTTCGAAACGTAGGTGATATTCAATAAAATATATATTGATATATTTAAAATTATACTTCACATAGATTTTTATACGAATATAATGTAAGAATACAGTATACAAACATATATACTTAATATAAATCATAACATGACTAATATAAGTCACAAATTTGTTTATATTGTTAAAGTTATTCTTATACCAATGTTTACAATATGTAAACCCACACTAAAAGAACTTTGTTATGTTAAAATCTTTATATAAATGTATCATCTACAACCTCACCAAGCTCTCTGAAATTAATTCTATAATTGTCATTATCATTTTTACGTTAATTTTTGCTGATCAACTACAGCTACTTTTAAAGTCAGCTACGCACCTTTTCGATCTAATAGTTAAAGTCGGCCAATGAAAAAGATTATAAAAAAAATTAACAATAACAATAAATAATCATTTTCAGTAATGCATACAAAGGCATTGTTTCCAGTAAAGTATTCCATTATAAAAAATAGATCAAGTAATAAATGTAATCTTTTTAAGTTCGTCAAGGAAATATATTAATAATTAAATTATATGCAAAAGAGCAGAGTAACAATAAAATATTGCTGTAATTAAGAATAAAAAAAAACTTTTATGACTTGGTTTTTATATTCAGATATATAATCATTAAATTATACCAATCAAGACCGAATAAAAAGTGTTAAAAATTATAATTATCACTTCGGACATCTTGTTTTTTTAAAAATAAATTGTAACGACCTAGGAGCAGTGGTTGAACATACCTCAGCAAATCAAAAGAGCAATCTGTGTCATTACAAACTGTATTTTATATCAAAAAAATATTTATATTAAAAAATCTATAACACGTTTTATTTCGACATTTACTTCATTTCAGGTAATATGTTTTCTAGCCGCAGCAAATGCTGCTCCACAGGGCTATAACTATCAACAGCAACAGAATAACTTCCAAACTGGTCAGGGTTCATTTTCACCACAAAATATATTCCAAAATCTCAAACAACAGCCATCATTTGGTTTTAATGTGCAGCCTCAAGCTTATCAACAAATAGCAACACCCACATTTGGTATACCTCAAGTGAAGCCACAGCAACAGTATCAGCAACAACAACAAGCTTTCCAGGCACCAGCGGCGCCAATTGTCACAAAAGATATTTACGTCCATGTGGCACCAGAAGAGCCAGAAGATAAATATCGTCCAGCACCAGTACCAGTAGCTCCACCACGCAAACACTACCGCATTGTCTTTATTAAAGCGCCCACACCAAGTGTTAGCTCGGCAGCGTTACGTGTTAAACAAGCACCAACAGAGGAGAAAACTATTATTTATGTGCTCACCAAAAAACCTGATCCACTGGACCTACAGGCTGTCTTCCAGGATGTTGCACCCAAACAACCCAGCAAGCCAGAAGTTTACTTTATCAAATACAAAACACAAGAGGAAGCACAGCACGCACAACGCACAATACAAGGTAAATTGTTCAGAACGGAATTTACGAGTATAACAATATGGCAACTCTAGACTGCTTAGTGTGGTATTTGATGATTAATTTTCATTTGAAAGACGTTTTAGTGAGCAAGTATGCTAATCTCTTTGTTATGCTTTAATGGCCGTATAAGCATTAGAGGCCGTTGTCACGCTACATCAAAGAATTTGCATATTTTGATATTGAAATCTTGTAGGCAAGTCAGTCACGAGATAGTTTGAGTCATATTATTGAGTTGATTTATTGATTTTTATGCTCAGTCAATGGCAGTAGCGGTCAGATCGTGTTACTAATTTTAGAAATTAATTTTGATTAATTATTGAAATAATTTTTTTTAATTTTAGCTCAATACGATCAACTTGGAGGCACGACACAAATATCTGATGAAGGTGTTGCACCAGTCACATCTGTTATCGGTGCTTTAGATCAACAACAAGGACCTAATGTTGGGACTTCGCCTGGCGGCGGCTTTATCGGCACCGATGGTGGTAGTGTTGTTAGCACTTCTGGAAGTGCCAGTAAATATTTGCCACCCATTGTTCGCATCTAAGTAACGAGTATTTTATATTTCATTGTTTGTTTGAGAGTCAATAAAATGAATTCAAACCGACTGATCGCCATTTCGCCACACACGCACTCGATTTAATTTAATTTAATAAACACAAATCACACCAAAACTATTCACTTTCAAAGCAAATCTGTTAAAGTTTAAACTTAATTATGTTGAATTCATTTGAGATACGTTTTTATTGTTATTCGAATTAGTATTTGTTTGTTGTTAATAGTCGCGCAAAGATACAAAACGTGTCTAGCGAGTTGTTTTTAGGATTAAGCTTAAAATGATTTTGTAAATATGTAAAAATATTTCTTTAAATAATATATTATAAAATGTTTTTAAAAAAAATTTAAATAAATTTTTATATTGCTTATTATTGGTAACTGCAACGTGATTTGGCATTGGTAATACTGGTAGCAATCGTCCATCTGCATATTTATTACTCAATATGGATGGATTTTACATATACATTCGTTCAGATTATACGAATATTTGAAGAAATGTGGTAACCAATATACTTACAGGTTAATAACTGAACAATGTATTCAACTGATCCCAGAACTAGGTGAAGTTAGGTGAAGTGGAGGGAGGAACAAATCCTCATAAAAAAGCCGTTTTGAATCCACAAATCCTTGTAAGAATGATCAATGCAAATACTGGAGATATCGCTTGGTGTATTAAAGTAGAGGGCCCCAAAAATTTAAGCCTAGTTCTGGACAAGTGTGGACATAGACGCAGCAGGTGTTCTAATGTCCTTTCTTTGAGAGCCGATACACACGCGTTACAGGAGTTACTACAGGGTAGGCCATTCTATTGTCCAGTACCCTGTAAAGATAGATATTAACCTAGATACTTCTGATGTACTTCTGTGTGTCAAGTTAGGGGCTCTACGTTTGGAATAGATTGGCCATCTAGCCATTGACCTGACTGCTGAAGCATATGTGCCCAATCCCTCGGAAAAAATGTCATAAATCAACTTCCGACTGTAGCTGGCAGAGACATGGATTGAAATACAGATAGGCGTAGAAGAGGTGTCCAGTCTAGCAAACTCGTCTGCGCGCTTATTTTCTACTATATTGAAATGCGCGCGAAAGTAAACTAGAAATACCTTCGACCTTTCGCACAGTGTATCAATAAATTGCCTACATTTTTACACTAATCTGAATGAAATACAGACTGCTAATAAAGTTTTAATTGCTGCCTGACTGTCAGTAAGGATATAAATTTCTTTTCTACAAAGTCCATATTTAAAGTAGGAGAACATGCTCTTATGATGGCGAATATTTCTGCCTGGATTTCTGTTTCAAGACTTATGTACTTCCGTAAAGAAAATTTCTTGCGAAAGTTCTGCTTGGATTTCTGTTTCAAGACTTACTTCCGTAAAGAAAATTTTTTGCGAAAGTTTATGTGATTGTGATGTTCATACCTCCATCAACCGCACAACTTATTGAACACGTTTGAAATTATGAATCTCACTTCATTACAAAAATTTAATTCTTTTTCAATATCTTATAACATTCGAAATATTAATATTAGAAATATTAGTAATATTAGAAAAATATGGTTTTTCACATAGTTTCTTCCTTTCTCTTCTACATTTTTTTGTCTTTTATTTATTCTCAACGTGTTTTTCCCATTAGAAGGGTACGCAAGAGAAGGTTTAGGGTTCAAGAGAATCCCTTGGTAAGTTATTTTAAAATTATAATTTTTAAATTTATATGATTCATATATTTTATTAAGATTTCAGAAAATAATTATATACCATAAACCCCCCTTAAATTTGTCACTGTATTTACCCCCGATTTCTATAATTTCTGTTATATGACTGTATACGCTTCATTTTCTCTTTGAATGTGCCTTCATTTACGGTCCTGGTTCTCATTATTATATCCCTGTATCGTCTTTTATACCTCCTACTACCTAGTTCGTTATTAGATAGTTAATAATATACCATTTTTATATATAAGGAATCGATTGTTAATTTGAAAGCATTACTTAAATAATGTTTTGTATGCAAATTTTGTTTGAAAAATATCCTAAATAAAATAAGTTAATGCTAACAGTTAATTTTAAAAGCAAATTGTTCGAGTCATTAATTAATGTGAGTAAAGTGAGAAAAATGTATCTAATGAACAATCACTTATCATAAACATCTCTTCGCTACACTCACTATCTTTTAGACACACTTTCAGTTTCAAAGCTTATGATTATTGGGAGAGATGAAAATATATCTTTCTGGTTTTATATTTTGAAATATTATGCAATATTACACAATATTTAAGTTGCGGGTTATGAACTATTAAACCACAACTATGGAATGTGGAGGAACAAACGAAATTTAAAAGATCACAAAAGAAGTGAAAAAAACGAAAAAAGAGCATTTGAGCCAACTTAATAAAAACTTCTTCATTTGCATTCTGGTCTTTACCACTCCGAACGATGATGCTACGGATTTTACGAAACTAGCTGGCTTTAGGTCAATGTCAGGCACACATACGCGCTTATAAGGAAATAATTAAAAACAGCAACCGAAGATACTCGCGGTGAAATATGAAATGATATAAGCAGAAACATAAAAGTCAGTGAAGTCATAAAATACAGAAACATATAAAAAATAAATAAAATGCGATTATAGGTAATATATCTTAAGATTTAATGTTTATGCGATAGTTTAGCATGTGTTTTAAGTCGGCATGTTTCCTGGTACTAAGAGGAGTGTCAAGATTTATCTACGAATCTCTTTGTCTTACGTATCTTGCAACATCATACAAGTATCTTAAACAAACCAAAAAACAAATGCACTCATGTTAATTAAAATTGCAATGAGAAAATACTCAAAGTACCGCATAATTAGTTGCAGAAATGAAATTCGCAAATATTGAAAGCCTTTTCCAGCGTATAAAATAAACAATCTTACGTGAAGTGAATAGTTTGCACACTCTTAAATTCATTGAAAATTTCAACACCTGTAGTTTGTCTACGTTTTAGCAAATTATTGAAAATTGTTTGAAATATTATTGGAAAGAAGTATTTTATTGTTTTTTCCTGCATTTACTTATGTTAAGTAATACACATGTCAAAACTATTTACACCTTACTGTGCTATTGATAAAGCCATTTCATTCGTATATATCCCGCATTCGACTTATGTAGCTTACAACATAATTAACAAAGTGAATCGGTGCACAGGTCACTCGCCGAGTGGTGCATTCAAAACCCACAATCAGTGAGTCTTCCATTTAATTTGAACCTGTTTTAAGACTCACAGCATCACTAATTAATTGATCAGTTTGAGTTATGAGCGCGTTTGGAAATTCGACGTTTCGTTTCGGACGATTTCCTCCAGTTGTGGAGTTGTTGAAATTTTATTGGTGCCCGTACACGTAAGTTTGTAATAAATCAGTCATCAACATGATTTTTAAATAGCACAAAATAATATAAATCACACTTGCATAATTAAACAAAAGTAACACATTATCTGTTACTTAAATGTATTAAGATGCAACCAGAAAAAAAAGATGGACCGTTGACAGATGAAGAAAGATTTATCAAAAAAATAAGTTTAAAACAAATAAGGAAGTTCGCTTTGATTTTACCGAAACTGAGATTATCTTTTTTCATAGTTATTAAAAAAATACTAACAAAAGATCTTCACATTGTTTTTTATTAGAACTAAGTTCGTTTCATGACAATTGTGAATAAATTTAAGATTTAATGTATTTCGTTGTGATTAAGACATCATTTATAGGATATGATTGAGTTGATCTTAATTGAATTTGTTTACAACCAGGTAACCTGGTTTACAGCATATTAATCACAACGATCCTAACCAGATTATTGCATATACTAAGTAAGACATGTGTGGGTTAATTACTATAATAGCCATATTGCAAAGTGATCTTAAAAATTATTATGGACTCTACTACGACACCGAATGGCTCAATAAGTTCCAGTCATCTATTACTTGTCTTATTCTTCAAAGTTTCAGTATATCATTAGATTCTTAGTAGCATGTGTGTTTAATTAGTTTAATTAATCACTAGTTTAATTAGTTTAATTAATCACTAGTTTAATTAGTATTCAGCTTACAACAAAAAACAAATTTAAGCTAAATGTCTTCATAAATACTTAGTTTCCAAAATGATGTTTACATGAAGTAAAAATGAAAAAAAAATGTCTTTATCTATAAGAAGATTAATAGCAATACCAAATAGATGACTTAACCATGCTTAATACCAAAAAGAGATGTATATATATTAAATCTAATAACTTAACATACTTCAAACGAAAAAATTGAATTGTGGGAGTAGGTATGTGTAGAAACATATTCAAAAAAATATCTGAATTTAAAAATCACAGAGTTGTTTAATACAAATTATTTTTAAATTCACATTTTATTAAAAATATGAATTATGAAATTTAATCATAATTGTTATTAAGTGAATTTAAGCCGTTCTTATTTTTCTTATTTTAAAATATGTAAATTCATAAATGCTATTGTAGGTCACACACTTCTATTTAAATTAAATATGTCACTGGACATAGTCCATCGTGTCTTTCTTTTTTAGATCGTAATTACTATTATTACGATTCATGTTAATATATATAATTTATTGACATTCATACCTGACAGATTGTAATAAAATAAGTGGATTAAGAAAAAAAAAAAAAATGCTATAATTTAATTGAAATTATTTCTATTAAGTTTATAAAATTTTTGTTACTTTAAGGTTAAAGATTTATTTTTATACACGAGTCAATTTTATAAATACTTTATGTTTAGTCTATTAGAAATAATAGTGTTCGTAAAGAATTTTAAGTTTAAACATGTTTGATCAGCGAATCAGACGCTACATTGTTTTGATTTAAATCAAATGAACAAGGAGATAGTAAATAGGTAGGCAGTTAGACAGTTATATAGAGAGATGCGTGAAGATACATTGATTTTAATGAAGGACGCTTACAAATTTTGAATAACATTAGGACGAATGACATCCTCAGGGACCTCAAGATTGAGCCGTTCAAAAAACACATAAAGGATAGAGCCCTGAAATTATTTGCAAAAACTGACAGACTTACCAACACCGCATTATCAAATCTCAGAATGATTACAGACTCCTCGGGGAGATATGCAGATCTAAGGTCAATTATTACTTGGTCTGATGAAGTGATAAATATTAATCCAGTCAAGGCATAATGAGGGGTTTTGAAGGTACCTCAAGTTATGAAAGAGGACTCAAGTGGTGGAATCAAAATAAGTGCTCAAGTGCACTAGCTTCAACATAAATAAAGCTTACTGCTGTGTCAGCAGCTATAAGTAAAATTGCCAAATATAGTGTCAAGAAATCTAAGATTGACTGGTTGGTATAATTCTTCAACAAATAGTACCTACGAGTTAAGCTTTATTCGAAACAAAGAAAATGTAAGTGTTACTGTCAAAAACAGCTGATATTAAACGATTACTTCTTTTAAAAACTATATGAACATGGATTAAAATGCTATTAATTACATTTGGATATTGTTAAGTGTCACAAAGCTTGATAACCATTATATGACTATTGCTAAGCCTTCACTGACAAAAAAATTTTTTGATTAATATAAACGTTTAGTAAATTCTATATTTATTAGAAACTTTATGCTTAACTTTACTACTTATTTCATATAGAATAAAAAATAAAAATTATTGTTTTGTTAAATTTCGATTTTTTTTATTTTATTGTATATATCTGGTAAATTTTTAATAACTAAAAATATACATGAAATATGTAAAAAAGCTTACAATGCTGATATTTAAACTTTTTCTGTAAATACACATATTGAGATATATTCAGCCTAAAACTATGCATAGCTAAGCTTTTGTACAGTGGAGCAAATTTATATTTAAGCAAATACAAATTTATTTTAAATATCTTCAGCAAATAATTTTTGGTGTTTTCTATAGTAAAAAACTTATATCATTTTCACTATAAGTAGTAAAACCTACTAACTTATAATATTAGGTTTTTTTGCCATTTACCATAAAATCAAATAAAACTGTTAAAATTTTTTTAGTTACTTAGATAATGTTAGATAATGTTAGTTAGATTATGGTTACGGAAAAAAGTTTTTAACTCACATACATAGTTAGTTCGTACGTCAACTTATTTAGAAAAATGAAATTTCTTTTAGCTTAATTATGATTCACATTAATCTACTCCTTTTCACTGAGACCATTGCAGAACTTTTGGGAATATGCACAATTTACATATATCGATATCCAGTACTTTTAGTACATCATTAATGAAGAGGTGCCCTAGATACGAACATCCTTATAAATTTTTAAATGCTGTAAATACTTTTAGAGCACAATAAATCTTTTAGGTCGTAGTGCACAATCCTTTCTTTTTAATAATCTAAATATTTTGAAAATATAAGTATTCAACGCTCTAATATTATTTTAACCAAATATGGTTTGTGCATATTAAATAGTAATTTACTGTAGTCTGGCAATGTGTCTACCAAGTACGTATTGTCATATTCGAACTTCAATAAATATGGATACATCATTGTTATCTTGTTTGAAAAAAAAAATCATATTTTTTGTAAACATAATTATACTAAGAAGGTTTTATGATATATTTTTTGTTTAAGTAAATGATGAACTTATTTCTAAAACTTTCTCGGTAATTCTTTATACTGAAATCTATATTCGGGGCATACTAAAGTGTCGACACAGTATTTGGCTGTATTCGTATGTAGTGCTTAAAAGTTGAATAGATATAAGCGATTCCGAAGGTGTATTCAATATCTTTGGGCTTAAATCATCGCAGAGTTACATATTTATGTGCGCATCATTAATATATAAGTTTTCTGAATCTTCATCTAATTTGTTCTAATAGCTTGAAGTCATTCCTTAAGACATTATTAATGCGATATGGTCTATATTTTTAATCCTATCAAGATAATGAAATATTAATATTTTTTCCAATATATATAATAATATATACATGTGCAATTGTTATCAAAAGGAAGAGAAAACCCTTGTGATCTCTAGTATAAATTTTTTTTTGTATAAAGCAAACAAAAAAGAGTTATTGTATAGAGAAAATTCATATTGAGAATGTGATTCTACACAGCTGTCTGCAAATATAAAAATTCTACCTCTTCGTTTCAAATACATCACATTTAGAGAGAAAATGCAGCAAGACCAACTTATGATGGGTTAGCATCCTTTTAGCAAGAGTTGACTATCACCTTCTTCCCCCCCTATTGGCTACACTCATTACCTAGCTAAATTACTTTATTTTATATTATTTTTAAAATAATAAGTACCACAAATTTTAATTAACATTTTGTATAAAACTTTATTTTGCATAAATAAAAATAATTTAATATGATATAAAATTATAATCTAAATGAAACTTAACTTATGACACGATAGCATGAACTTAAAAAAATTGGTCACGAAAATGTGATTGTAAAATTTAAAAAGTGGCAAAAAATGGATTATTGCCTTCAAGCACTTCATTTAAGAGTCTTCACAGGCAAGTATTTCTGTGAGGGTGCTGAGTTAATGAACGACGAAGAACCACCAACTGATGATTGTGATTGGTAACTCTGTTGCACAAATTGCTGTTGCGCGGGGAAGATAGGTTGGCTCAAGACAGCCTCACCGCGTGTATTACCAATAACGGAAGTGATTGGTGCAATACCTTCATCGGAGATATGAGTAGAACCACCCAAAGCATCATACTGCGCTTGTATTTGTTGCTGAGCACGTTGAGCTTCCTCTTGAGTCTTGTATTTAATAAAGTAGACTTCAGGTTTATTGTTCTTAGGTTGAGCTTGAGATTGTTGCAACTGTTGTTGCACTTCGGCCAAATCAGGTTTCTTGGACAGGACGTAAATGACAGTTTTCTCTTCATGTGTGGCTTGAGCTTGTCTCAAAGCAGCAGTAGCGAGTTTCAAATTTTGACTTGGTGCTTTAATAAAAACAATGCGATAATTCTTACGAATTGGTGCGCTGTCCAATTGCTGTCCCAAATTTGATTCTTCTTGATCTTCTGGTGCTGAATGTATGTAAATGTCCTTTGTGATTATAGCAGTTTGTGGACGTTGATAACCTTGGAAGGTTTGTTGATAATTATTTTGTACGGGTTGTGGATAGCCAACCTGTTGTTGGAGAACTTGTTGTTGTACGACTTGTTGTTGGTGAGATTGTGGAACTGAGGCAATGGGTTGTGGAGCAGAAACATAGGTTTGTTGTGGAAACGATAATGGGGCGGGTGCAGGTGCTGGTGCATAAATGGGTTGTGGAGCTGGAATTGAAATTGGTGCAGGTACAGGAGCAAGAACTGGTGCTGGTGCAGGCAATGGATGCTGTTGTGGTAAGGCTACAGGAGCTGGTGCATGTATTGGTGCTGCTTGTGCGTGATGCTGCACAACTTGTTGTTGATTTTGTAGATTGATTTGTGCCAACGGTGCAGATTGCACTACAGAATAAATGCCACTATTTGATTGTGGTTGCTGTGGACGATAACTGTTTACGGGTATGGGTTGTCTGTTATTTGGTGCTTGAAGTGGTAATTGCTGTACAGAAGGTATATGTCCAACAGGTGCTGGTGGTGATTGCACTGGTATTGCTGGTGGTGCAGGTGCAGGTGGTGCTTGATATCTATAGCCAGGTTGCGCAAGTGCAACAGCAATGAGTGCAGATAACTGTAAAATGAGTTTATGTTATTTTATGCATATGGTGTTTTAATGAGTTTGGTTTTGTTAAACTGTTTAGGTTAACTTCTTAACAAAATTTTTATTAAACTTACCAAAAAACCAACAAAATACTTCATTTTGTGTATTTTTCTTCTATATATAGCTCAAACACTTCCTTCAACCTTAATTGGACAACTTCAAATATGAAACTGATGCCTGTCCCTGAACTCGCCAACGCTTTTATATGAAATCCATTTCTTTTTCATTTAACTATGCAAATCCATTATTGATAAAATCCAAACCATTGCCAATAAAATATCAAAATCTATTGTTTTTCCCTATAGCAGCATCAGCATCAGCATCAGCTGTTACGCATTTGGGCTAGTCGAGTTAATGCTCTGCAACTCGTTCACATAACCACTATTAGCAAATCACGGAATCACAACAATAGCCAAATTCAATGAACCAAATTAAAAATGCATCCTCCTCAATAGACTTAAGCAGTCTGTTATCTAATATCGATATCGACTAACAAACATCGCAGTTGGAAAATTTCTAATGTCACCTCAGACGAGATACAAATTTAATTAATGCAAAATTATTATTTTATTGATATTATTTGAATATTTTTGTCTCGCACGTAACGTTTTTCATTAACAAATCGTTCGGAAGAAAGCAGCAACAATAAAGAAATTTGCATTTTTATATAAAATACCAAACATGTTTCGAATTTGACCCATTGAGCCAATACTCCGATGGCTATGACGGCCCAAACTGCTCTTTCTTCGGGTCTCTTACCTGTTTTGCGGTCTTCGGAGAAATGCTACTACTTCACATGCATTTAACAGTAAAGCAGAAGGTCGCGTATACCGCACTTTGGCAATATCGTTTCGCTTCCGTTTCGAGTGCGTCAGCGTTCCGTTGTGTGCGTATGCGTGAGCATCTGTGCGCCCTTAATCTGCATAAACCATATTGATTTTTTTAATTAAGCGTTTATTATGCAAAATTATAAACAAAATCTTTCTTCGACCTAAACAGGCTTTTTAATTTATTTCGATATTATTATTTAATTTCATATTTTCTATGATTTCGTATAAATTTTTTGTTGTGTCAAAGAGAAGTTTTTTTTTCATGTGAAAAAAACTTAAACTTTTGTTTAAGTTTTTTATGATTTGTCACCTTTTATTTCACAAATAAATGATAAATTACTACCAATTATAATTACCAATACAAATTTAATCACTTCAATATTTTTATATTAAAACCGATTTGGTTTTGTGGGCGTTTTTTGTTATAAAACAGTTTAAATTACGAACTGTAAATAAACAAAAGTTGGCAAAAAAAGTGTTAATTAATGCTTTATAAAATATTTTTTTAATTATGTTAATTTTTTCTGTGTTTTGTCGTTACAAACGACCTTGCGATTTCGACATTCCGTTAAAATCTGCATCCATAATGAATAAATAACATTATTAAGTTTCGAATACAGAGCAACCGGACTTCCTTGGCTAATTTCCAAATAATGATAAGCTAAATACATATATTGCTAATCATCTGTGTATTATTAATCATATGACTTCTGGTCAGAAAATGATCTTTTAATTATTTTTAATATTACTATCTAACCTTCACTGTTTATTTCATTCCCTCCATGCAAAATACACCCAGTTTAATACTCCGTACTTATTCTACTGTTATACTATAGATTCCAATTGGAGAGACAATATTGGATCACATGTTTCAGAGGTTAAGTCTTGAGTTTGTTCCATGATTTCAGCATTATTATATCTATTGCAGAAAATATAGATTCTTAAGTGTGTTTTTAAGTTTAAAAACCAAAGTAGCAATTTATAATATTATTATATGTTATTAGATCTTATTATAGTTATGTTATTATTGTGATCTGTTGTGACAGAAACTGCTGAAAAAATAACAAATTTTCGAAACAAATTATTCTTTCGTATTGTAAAAGTTCGAATATTATACACAAAGTATTCGTAAAAGTCGTTTTCTAAAATGGACATTCCTGATTGTTTAGCAACCACTCTTATGGTTATACTTATATTGGTAATTACGATTTGTTCAAATTTCTTTAAGTCTTCAACATTTATGAATTTGTTAAAACGCCCAGACTTTGCTGTATCTTGAATGTCCTCTTGGTTATCCTAAAAGAACTTAGAAAACTCATAAAGTCATGGTCTTGATATAATCTTAATCAAAGGTGTTTCCCATTTTAAATACTTCACCTTAATGTTCAACATTAACTAAATGTTTAACACAACATTTCACATAATTCTTCTGATCTGATACTAATGTACGATTGACAGGATATAAGATTATAATGATAACAATAATTACAATTATATTATTATATACTATTTTTGTATAAGTACTTTTTATTTCATAGGTTTAAAGGATAGGCATGAGTTGTTACAAAGACCTTTTTTAAAAGGCCATCACATCAATACTGATATATTTTTATTCGGATTAATTAATTTTAAGAGACTAATATATTTAATGAAAGTACGATGAAAATGCTATTCGAACGCCCAAGACAGTACTGGACAGAGACACAGGAAGTGTTTGATGGATTCTACATCCTTCTCATCTTGACAACTACTGCACAATTCACTTGTAGATACTCACCATCTTTGGAGCATAGGCGTAATGGCAGAGCTCCCCGTTAGTACTCCAGTAAGTAGCTGAAGCCGAAAAGTCTTTTCGTTTTATTTTTGTTTAATCTATGCTATAATGTTCTAGTGACCGCACAGTCTTTGCGATTAGCTCATAGATTATTAGTCACCGCATCATTGGTGTTTGTATTGAGAGGTCGGTCTCTCTTATATGCAATTCAAAAACTCTTCCCCTCAATATTGCTATGTCCAGGAATCAGTGAAGCGTGACATCTTAATATAATGTTGGATCTAACCGATTTTAATTCAATAGCTTTCAGTGCTGCCTGACTATCTACAGAAACAGTGATATTTGAAGCATGAATTGTACATAGTTGCATAAAATTGACATATATTTTTTCTCGGCCTGAAAGACGCTGCAAATATCAGGTAGACGGCCAACTCCAGAGTTACCTGTCATAGATGCTAGCTTCCAGCTATCTCTGGTTGGATAGAGAGTAGGAATTCTGGTGTTAAAGTCTAGTATTGGTGTCATGTAGTCTGTATAAACAGTATATTGTAAAAATAAAAGATTTAAAAAAAAAGAAGACACCAATGCAAAATCATATTAATTATAAGACATCGAAAAGTATAAATAACAAACACTATACTAATCCATTTTTTTTTCTTTTGTGTTATAAGAAGAAGTTTTTAGTATTACACCGAAATTGTCATGTCATTCATGTTAAAAAATTAAAAAAAAGTCTAGTGGTGATAAATCACATTATCATCTCGCACAAAAATTTCAAAGCAGTATATGTTCTATTAATTATTACTTACGACTATATCCTGTTGCAACTATATATCTTCCATACCCATAACATAACTTTCAGCTTAACATAATATATCATCATGTGCTGTCTCAGCTGTTCAAAATCTTTTTAAGGTATGACGTTATCACATCTCTAAGCCACGATACAGTGACTTTTCGGGGAAGCAATAGTCTTTCACAGTTATATATAGATATAGAAAATATATATAGAAAATGGTCGCATTTTGTAGAACGAAATAGTTCTGATCGCTATAGAAAATTCGATACAAAAAAATTCTAAATACGAAAAATAGTAAGTTTTCACATTTTTTACTATAATTTTTTTTTAACTAATCTAAACTTATTTATTAGAAAAAGATAAAACTTTAGTTTCTAATACTAATACAGTGCTGCCAATAAGGAGCATGAAATGAATAAACCTTTGTTAGCTACATATGGTACATATATCTATTGATAACTATAGATACATTGTCAGACTGTGATAGGACAAAAGTATTACGCATCTTCCTTATTACTAGTATTAATTAGCTGATACGATTTCTTGATTTATAGAATATACGAATAACGTAGTAACCATTTGTTTTTATTTAAATTTGTGTTGTGATGATATGATATTCTATAGTTAAAAATAAAATTTTTTTGTAAACATATTGTTTCATAAATATTTCGAAAGAAAATTTTTAATTTTACTACTCATGTGGTATACGTCATTTTGTATTTAAAATTTTTTTATATTTTTTCTTAGGCATTTTGTTCTATACAATTTTGTAAAATCTTCCGTTCCGTCACTAAATTCACGCTGGAAACCAATTAGAGAGATTCATTATGAATCGCAATCGAAATTTCAATATTTATACAAATAACAGCGGTAGTAACATAACTGCCAACATGGGTGAAACTGGTTCCAGTACTAATTTATTGGCTGGCGGAGATGATAATGTGCAAAATCCAAAATCGAAGTCTAACATTGCTGCACCCATTTCTGATTTGGATGAGATGCCGGTTAGACGTTATACTCGCACGGAACTACTACTACGACGTTATGACCTCTTATCCGTTGAGCACATATGGCAGCATGAGTACGAGAACGATCCATACTATATTGCTGTTGTGAACCGCCTGCATGAACTGGACTTGTGGACAGAAATATCACCTTCGGCTTATGAACCACTCTATAATATGGCTACTTTGGAGGATTGCAGTGATGCTGAATTGGCAAACATAGTACAACAGGTTAATGAGATAAATGCTTCGCCATCAGCACAAGGCTATCGCAATTCTTTTAATCGACGTCGTGGCCGACCATTTAGAAACTATGGCATTACTAATAACAACTTCCAGCCTATCTATCAAAATCCAAATGTTCCTTTCAACTACTCAAATGTCTATTACCCGGCTATTGCACATGTCAATGGTGGATCCATGCCAAATGGAACTACTATACTACCGCAACAGCAGTACCCCCCATCCATATTTATGCCACCACAGTTTTTTAATTACTCAGCAGATGATCAAGCCAATAATGATGTGATGTCCTACTGTTGGTATCCCACCAACAAGCACAACTTTAACGAGAAGCAGTAAATCGTTGTATGGTCGCATGAACACAAGATGTACCACACCAGAATATAGTGTGTAGTACTATTTTGTAGGATCTAACTGTTGTGCTTGTGAAAAGACTTGTGTTCGTGCTCTTTTTGTATTTAAGGTGAGTCACAAAAACTATCTATTGAATAGTTCTATTGGAGATCTGTTGGAGATCTTTTTTATTCTTTTTTTTCTCGTTTCAGTTAATTTTAAAAATTCCAAAAAAAAGGTAAAAAATGATGTTGATGATATTTCTTTTTTCTCTATTGGTTTCCAACTACAAAATTCGTTTGATTGTGTGCTTTTTGAAACCCAAAATTCTGTTTAAATTTGTACTACTGTACGAACTTTTTGTGCACTCACTGTATTTCATCTTTTCTTGTTTGTCTTCTTTTGGCAAATTTGTTGGCGCCAAATTATACAATGTATTATATTTTATAAGTCCACTTCAACAAAATAAAAATAAAACCTTATATATGTTTGTTTATGTAAAAGCAAATTAATGGCCGTTTGCATTCAAATTGTTACAAAGAAAATAATAAAATGGTAATATAATCAGTGACAAAGAAGATGAAAATTAGCGAGTTTAATCTAAACTTATAAGTTTAATAATGATTTAATGGAATTGTTTTGACAGCGATAACCTATACTTAAGGCGGTCCACACATATGTGTAACGAAATTGAGTTATTAGGTGTTGTAAGATTCGAGCACACTTATCTGTCATGCGTTTCGCTATGGGAAGTCAAGCTGTATGCAGCGACCTTGAAGTGCGTACTGATCAATCTTTCGAAAAACAGGAATAAGATTTATGAGGAGTTGGGTGATACATTGGGCATGCATCTGAACTGGCATATGACAAATTGCAGTTACTCTAATGATTTATGGTATACATGTGTTACATAGTACATACAGTGATGGCCTTGAGGTGTACACAGATACTTAATCGATGGGTGAATATAAAATTATCGGGATGAGTTAAGTGATGCATCGAAACAAGTGTTTAAAGTGACACTTAGCAAATTGGAATCACTAATCTATGTTTCTAAAATACCTTTAGTTATCGATTATTTACATATTATTTAATTTTTTTTGTAATATTTACATAGTTGCATACAAAATAAAATAAAATCTTGAATTCATTTTTGCAGTATTACAAAACTATTGTCATGTAATCATGTAATGACGAAATGAGACGTGATATTTATTAAAGTAGATTACACAATGCAACAATCTTAATCTTAAGAGGTGTATACGAGTGAAATTTATTGTTTTAGTAAAGACACAAATTACTGTTCCGAACATGGATATATACATACTCATATTATGTTTTCACGTGGACATATGAAAATTTTTAAGTTTTTCATTTCATCAAGCCGATATTAGATATTGCACAAATTTATTATAGGTCATATTAATTAATTTTGAACCTTTCTAAAAACCGATGTGCCTGAAGCAATCCAATTTTACTGCAGTCTTCTTCACTCTAACTCAATATATTGTATATTCTAGTTAGATAGGACCCGCACTAGCAAAACTATAATGGAAAATAAAATAACCAATAGTTCTTCTTCACTCTGATAATATTGTAGGTATATCCTACTTAAAGAGAACTTGCATATAAAAAACAGTAAGAAAAAATATAGTAGGATTTACTAATTATAAACTTGTGTCTAACTATGTGGAAACCAAAGTCTGTTTTATATATGGGTAAAGAAAAAACGCCTATAACTCACTCG